CTCACTCACTCACTCACTCACTCACCCACTGACTAGGCATCACCATACTTCTTTCATTGAGTGTCTTCCAACTGATTGTGGCGGATATGGTTCCAGCTACCTCCATGGCCGTTCCGCTTGTTGGTGGGGGATCTTAATTTTTCAAAACTATTTTTTGAAAATCGCCATCATTGTCATCATCATCATCATCGTCATCATCATCGTCATCACCATCGTCATCATCCTCATCATCGTCGTCGTCATCATCATCATCATCATCGTCGCCACCATCACCATCGTCACCATCAGGTGTATATTTTGCCTGTGTGATGATAATGTGCACGATGTCGGTCATAATGACGGTGATCGTGCTGAACTTTCACCACAGATCACCAGACATGTACGTCATGCCTACTTGGGTCAGTGAGTGAATGAATGAATGTATGAGTGAATGAATTAATGAGTAATCGAATGAATGTATGAGTGAGTGAATGAATGAATTAATGAGTGAATGAATGAATAAAGGAATGAGTGAATGAATGTATGAATGAACGAATAAATGAATGTAAATGAAAGAGTGAATTAGAGCGTGCTAGAATGATAAAATGAATGAATGCATGATAGAGTGATGAAGTGAAGGAGTGAAACTGTGTATGTTAAGAGAGAAGTAAATGAGAGGTTAGACAAATGAATAAATTCGTTCCAAAAAAAGATGAATGAATGAATGATTGAAATGCAAAAAAATATATAAAAAAAATATAAAAAAATAAAAAAAAGCAAAGAAAATAAATAATGTAAACAAAATTCATTTTCCCCTTTACGTGTCTGACCATGCCGATGCATACTAACAACTATTTAAAGTTATGTATGTTTGTATTTTGAGAAACAAATAAAATTTCGTTTCGTTTTCTATGTATGTCTGTTATTTTGCTTGTATGCATGCTTGCAAGAGTGTTTGTTTGAACCTGTGAATGTATACCCATACACGTACATACTCACATAAAGCAGCTGAATATTCTCTATAAAATGACAAAAAATGTAACATTCACACAAACATACACATACACTCACACACAAAGACGCAAACAAACAAACAGACACGCACACACACTCACTCAAACGCACACACACATACACACACACATACACACACATACACACACACACAT